TATATTATCTAAATCTGGCCTAATGCAGGACAACAGCAGCTAAACCAGGTTTAAACCAGGACTGAACCAGGTTTAACCCTGGACTAAACAGTTCTAACGCAGCCTGTGATCTCCTGTGAGAGCTGTATCACTTTTGCGCCACAGGCCTGATGTTGGAATCCTCTCCTCATCAAAGTGCAATGCTCCAGTTGTGGGTTGAATTCCCAGAGTTTCTGGAGTGCCTCTGAGCCCCATCAATATTTCAGCACGCATCCTACAGGAGACAAAGAGGGACAAAACACAGGATTAACTAAACATGAGGCGCATCTGTCACATCAGGAGGAAATGAGGCGAGGAAGGAGACAAGGAGAGGAAACAAGGAGACATCTCTCACACAAAGAACATTACTATTGTGTAACTTCACGTAAACTACAAACAAATGTGTCTAGATCTATCGCTTTTCCACTACTGCTGCAGTTTCCACAAGTTCTTCTTTGTTTTCAGGAAAGCAGACAAGGAGCTAGGAAGCAGGAGTGAGGAGATAGGAGGTAGGAGGTAGGAAAGAGGTGAGGATAAGTGGATGAGACAGATGACATTAAAACGCTCAAATGAACAAAGTAGGAACAAAATATCATCATGTTTTATTCATGTTTTTGTTCCAAACGCAGCTTTTAGGGAACTTACAGAGAACAAGAGGATTCTGTCGAGTCTAAATCAGGACTAAACCAGGACTAAACCAGGTCTAAACTCTATTCACGCATATGAGGAACCCACCCCTGTCCAAATGCTTTCAAAACTAGGTCCAAACAGGGTCCAAACAGGGTCAGACTATAGTTTTATTAAACAAAATCAGGACTAAAACAAAACTGAACTGAATAAAGCCAAAACTAAAAACGGACTAAACAAATATACAGTACAAAAATACGCTCTAAAACACCTTGGTTTAAAGAACTACTCATACAATTGTGGCTCCACCTGCATGAGAAATCCTTAACCCAGCAGACCTCAGAAGCTAAGCAGGACAGGGCCTGGTTGGCAGGCAGTGATGGGAGACCTCTGGACACATTATATGCCAGTTGGGTGGCTGAGGCTTTTGTGGAACTGATGTTAGGTAAGATAATTGACCTATACTGCCTTGTGTGTGTGTGTGTGTGTGTGTGTGTGTGTGTGTGTGTGTGTGTGTGTGTGTGTGTGTGTGTGTGTGTATGTGTGTGTGGTGATTGGCCAAAATAATAGGTGCTATGATATAGATTGATTAAAGTCAGATTAAAATGACCAGGTCTGTATACTGGGACTAAGGAAGATCTAACAAATACTTATAGGTTCAAAAATCTAAAGTAGGACTAAAGCAGGAGAGTAATGCAGGAGTAAAGCAGGTTTAAAGTAAGTCTAAATCAGGAGTGTGGACTAAGGCAGGTCTCGGACTCGTGAGGTGCAGTAAGATCAGTCAGTGTGGATGGCCTCATGAATATGCATGAGCTGTTTGTTTCATGTTTACTCCATTATTCACCTCCCACAAAGGACCAAGTGCATGACGGGCTCTCCACAGGGACAAGTGCCCGGACCAGCGCAGTACATCCACTAAAGCGGGTCTAAAGCAATCCTAAACCCCCTCTAAAGCAGATCTAAAGCAGGATTAAAGCAGGTCTAAAGCCAGTTTGAAGAAAGTCTAAAGCAGGACAAAAGCAGGTCAAAACAGGAATAAAGCTAATCTAAATCAGGAATGAAGCAGCTATGAATTAGCTCTAAATCAGGATTAAAGCAGGTCTAAAGCAGGATTAAAGCAGGTCTAAAGCAGGATTAAAGACCTTATGCCGGGTTTGATTTATTTAGAAATACAGTTTAAATACCATTTTATATTAGAAGAGAACTACTAAAGATTTCAAAATCAGTTGTTGTTTTTTTTGTCTGATCCCCCCAAATCGAAATAACCCCATAGCAACGCCCTTAGAGACGAAAAAACTTCACAGCCATTGGTGACGTCAGAGTGGGTACGTTTCAACGCTGTAAGTTGTTTACAATTTGGTATTCGTTCTTTTTTCGCGGATATTCAAGATGACAAGGCCGTGTACAGTGAGTCTGACATAAATACTTTATTGTAAATCTTCGTTGGTACTGAGATAGTCCAGTGGTTGTGTCGATGGATTGCCAATCCAGATACTGGGGTTCAAATCCCTCCTCAGACACTTTTTCACTCTCAAAACGGCAATTTATGTGTAGTGAGCAATTGTCACCTGTAGAGTGCAGTATTGTGTTGGGCATCAGTGGAGAGAAGAGAGAAAAGGCAGTCCTGTGGCATAGATCCATGGTTTTCAATGCATGGGCGTAACCCGCTATGACGTCACACACAGGTTAGAGCATAGACTTAAATTCATGAAAAACACGTTCTTTTTATAAAATATAGGATTTTTTTTGCCGGAATCTCTTTCAGATTGACATTGTCATGCAATTTTGATATCCACATTTTTTTTTTTTAAACCCGGCATAAGGTCTTTAAAGTAGGTCTAAAGCAGTCCTAAGCACCCTATGAAACAGGACTAAAGCAGGTCTATAGAAGGACTAAAGCAATCCTAAAGCAGGTCTAACACAGGTCTGAAGCAGCTCTAAATCAGAATTTAAAGCAGATCTAAAGAAGCTTGGAATCAGCTCTAAATCAGGATTTAAGCGGGACTAAAGCAGGTCTAAAGCCAGTTTGAAGAAAGTCTAAAGCAGGACAAAAGCAGGTCAAAACAGGAATAAAGCTAATCTAAATCAGGAATGAAGCAGCTATGAATTAGCTCTAAATCAGGATTAAAGCAGATCTAAAGCAATCCCAAACTCTTTTAGTCCCTCCAAATCAGCACTAAAAGAGGTCTAAACCAGGACCAGGATAGGTCTAAAGCAGGACTAAACCCCCTCCAAGCAGGACTCTATCAGTCTCTCCTCGTCTTGGCTCTGCTCTCTTGTCTCCAGAGCTCGCAGGCCCCTCGATCCCAAACCTCGGCGCAGTTCTGGCACAAACCTTAATCACCGCGTCAGTGCCAAACATCAGCCTGAGCAGCCGCACGGCATTCTGGGAAGACCAGCAGCACCCAGGGAGGGGGAAGGAGGATGGGGGTGAAACCATCCTTTGTTTGCCCATACCAGTGCTGGTTTGGAAAATTCTTGACATAATAATAGGCTTTGATTTCTCTTCATATCATGTGATCTAAGTTTTTAAACCGGCGATTTGAGATAATGTTCCTGATAAAAACTGTACAAAGGAAAAATATCTAAAAACAGCCTCTAAGCTTGAACATTTCGAATAGTGTAGTGGCCCTTTACACCATCTTGACAATCTTTACTTGCTTTACATTGTGAAATAATATAAATTGTGTGAAATCAACAATACAGACAGACATGAATTATTATGTATTACTATGTACTAGAAGCATAACTACCAAATGTCGTGGTAGAAGTAGGAATTTAACATGGTGGGGTCTAGTTGTAGGAGCACGGTTGTAAAGAACATATGACTAGAATAAAAATTGAGAATATGCTTTCATTTAAAGGCAGAAAACAGATACATATCATGTCATGGTCTGAGAATGTGTCGTAGTGTAAACAGAGCATTTAGACAGAAGGGGCGGGGGGACACATTTGTACCAGAAGTGATTGATATTAGTGTAGGTGGAGCACAGGGCCTTATTTACGAAGCCCGCGTATGCTCAAAAACTGCTTTGACATTTTCTTCGACTTATCAAACATGAAGCTGGACACAGGACTGAGCAGTCTGATCATACAAACGTGAACGTGCACTACAACACATGCTTTTAGTAAGAGTTTCCCGTCAATAAATCAGACTTGAGCTTTCACTGAGGTTCTTCAAGTCAAACCCACGTTAATCCACCTCTTATTCCCATAATGTTGCCACCGCTCTGGACACTATATACATTATATAGAACCGGCGTCACACACTGTATGAGTGCAGTCTGTGTTATGTTCCCTGTCTGGCCTGGTTAGAAACTATCAATCAATTAATCAAATTTTATTTATTATTTATAAAGCGCTTTTCATAAAAAAAATGCAACACAAAGTGCTTTACAGTTTAGTTAAAAACAATCCAATATGCCCAGCCCTAAACCCCACTGCCCACAGACCCTCCCATAAACCACATTTATTATTATATATACACCCACATGCGTATACAGTATACAGTATACAGTATACACACACACACACACACACACACACACACACACACACACACACACACACACACACACACACACACACACACACACACACACACACACACACACATATAAAATCACATCAGATAGGTAAAATAGGTAAAACAATGAAAAGATATAGGGCTGGGTGCATATGTAACCGGCTGAAGAAGCTCCATCCAAGGAGCCATCTGCACCAGGAGCAGAGAGCCGCCTGCAGCCACAGGGGACGACATGGGACCCAGAGGAAAGAGGAGGCCCCAGACCCCCCGCCAGGCCCCCATAGGACCCGGGGGAGAGAGGAGGCCCCAAACCCCCAAACTAAAATCTAAAGCATCTAAAGCAGAGAATGAGAGCAGAGACCCCCGGACTTCTCCACACCCACTTCCTCTGGGGGAATCTCAAGCTGTTCCCAGGCCAGCTAAAGAGACATAGACCCTCCAACATGTCCTGGGTCTTCCCCTGGGTCTCCTTCTGGTGGGACTAGACGAAGCCACCTCAGCGGGCTCCTCTCTAAGAGGAGAAACTGTGGCTCTACTTCGAGCTCCTCGCGTCTGACGGGGGCCTCAGCGAGACGGTTGCAGCAGACCCTCACGATACTCATGGGTCTGCCAGGTTTGTCCGTCTTCCTCCCCCGGCAGCGAATCCAACTCAGATGCAGATTATTTTGTTCACCCCAAAGAGTCGAGTCCATTCACTCTGAACTACACAAGGGCGATGACTGGATGAAAGCTCTAATATAAAGGACAGCCCTTGTAACCTGAGGCTGGAAGCAGTGCAACAAAGAGAGGAAAGGAAAATACAATCCTTGATCCAAGTTGTTTTCTGATTATGTTCCGACCAGCCCAGACCCTGACGCCCACCACTGGCTCTCGGTGAAAGAGAGTTGTTTGTTTGAGTAAAGTATGGTAAGGGTATTTTATGATCACCCACTTTAGGAAGCTCTACTCTTTTACAGTTGAGGGATAATTGTACTATTCTTTGGTAATGCCCTGTAGCAGTTATACAGTATATCACTTATTCTGATATTAGTGACGTGACGGAAACCAGTAGCAATACAGTAAATGTTGTATATCCTAGAAGCAGAAGTAGCATCAATAGTAGCAAGAGTTCAGTGTAACTCTTTAACATGTACTTGCAACTGTGATATATTTCCTTTTGGAGTAACATAATGAAGTAGTAAACATTTGGGTCTATTGTACTAGAAAAACAATCAGAGAAACTAAAGTTAATTGCAGATTTAATGTATATTTGTTTGGTGGTTCTGCTACTTTGTCCACCTCTGAAAAAAGGCAAAGAAAGATTATAGTTAAAGTTGTTTTTGTCTTAATATGCGTCTTTAATAGTTATATCTTCCAATAGAAATCCTTCATACAGAGTGTTTGGACAGAAACATGGATCTCTCAGTCACTCTGCTCCGCTCTGAGCCGAGTAGTAGTAGTAGTAAGTATTTTTTATTTATATACCGCCTTTTCACTGCACATTGGAGTCTCAAAGCGGTTTACAATTGTTATTTTTGGGAGTGGGGGTGCCAGTACAGGAGGCACATGCCAGACCTATTGTATATATTTTTAGTGATAGGGGAAACCGGAGCACCCGGATGAAACCTACGCTGACACGGGGAGAACATGCAAACTCCACTCAGAAAGGCCCTGGTCCAACCGGGATTCAAACCCAGGACCTTCTTGCTGAGAGGCGAGAGTGCTATCCACTCAGCCACCGTGCCTTACTGCATGTTTGAGTATTGTTCTTCACACATGTACTATACTTTGATATGTCAAAAAATAGAATATAATAAAAAGAAGCAGCAAATGTCAACATCACATCAGAATGAGCGCGTTTTCTCTCTGAGTGCAGGTTTTTGTGGCAAAGTGTTTACAACTCAGAGGAGTAAACTTTTATTGTATCCTTGTGTTTATGCAGAAACATTCAAGTTAATGCGGAAAAAAATGCAGGGGTTTTAAAATTCTGTGTAACGAACTTGAAGATTGGTGTAACAGAGGTATTTAAAGACTGTAAACGTGTAAACATTTAAATATTCTACATGTTTATCATACACTGCCCATAGACCATAAATATAACTGTCCTGCAGGGGGCAGTAGCAGCAGCAGACCAGGGAGGGACGGGTTAACACCAGGTTAACACACACTGGGCAGGGCTTACTGGAAAACCCTGTGGAAAACACACAGTACTTCTGGTTTGGGAGAACGCAGTATTTTTTCACTAAACACACACTACTCTGATACAGACTCCAGGACAGGTAAGACCACTGGGTTTGACCTACACCAGTGCGACTACTACACCAGAGGCACTGGGCCTACATGTAAACCAGCAGTATTACTACTACTGCAAAGTACTTTGAGAGAGTACTTCTGACTACAAACACCACATGGGACTTGAGCTTTGGCTACTTCAAATATTATATACTACTACTACTACTAACTACTATTACTACTTCTACTACTACTACTACCACTACTACTCCTTCTACTACTACTAACTACTACTCCTGCTACTCCTACTACTACTACCACTACTACTAACTACTACTACTACAAACTACTACTCCTTCTACTACTACTACTACTCCTACTACTACTACTACTACTACTACTCCTTCTACTACTCCTACTACTACTACTACTCCTTCTACTACTACTACTACTACAAACTACTACTCCTTCTACTAACTACTAACTACTACTCCTACTACTACTACTCCTTCTACTAACTACTAACTACTACTCCTACTACTACTCCTTCTACTACTACTACTAACTACTACTACTACTAACTACTACTGAAATCACGTTATAAAGCAACAGTATGTATCTTTTGTGGAGGTGGAAATCAGACCATCCCATGTAAATCAAAAGTTAAAACCAGACTCTTAGAATCCTACTTTATGAATATTTATTTGTCCCACAGTGGGGGAAATTTCAGTGTTGCATCTCCAGTTACAGAACAGTAGGAATAAGCAGCACACAGCACAAGATAAATGAACCTGAGTACCTCTTTACTAAATACAAAAAGTGAAATGTCTAACTTTAGCACGAAAAAGAAGCAGTATAACATCTCTAGCTTTATCATAATTTGAAGCAAGTATACAAGCCAGTATATTCTAGTACAAGAATCATGTAGTTGTGCGTATACATCTGTAAATGTTAGCTGCATGAGGGCGTAGGACGAAGTGAAATACTCTTTGTGCCGTGCAGTGCAAGGTTACAGCCCGAGGAACAATGTTTCTGCTGCTAAAAATACAATCTTCAAGTTCAGCGCTAAAAACATTCAAATTCACTGTTACATGCTACAAAAAGTATTGGACCGGAGTAGAAATGATTGGATGACAGCTGCTAGGGACGATGCCTCACAGCAAGAAGGTCATAGGTTTGATCCTGTGTTGGCCCGGGTCTTTCTGTGTGGGATTTTGCATGTTCTCCCTGTGCCTGGATGCTGCACTGGGATGACCGCTGCTGCTGACAGAGGCCCCAGTTGCGTTGCAGAGAGGTTGAAATACAGGGGAGGGGACACATTTCCCTACAGGAACAATAAATTACATACCCTTCAGAGTGAATCTACCACAAACTGATCGACGGCACACAGTTGGATAATAATAATTTGAAAACTTGATTAAAAGCCATAATTTTGCTGCAGATAATATTGCATGGAGATTCATCATGAAATATGTGTAATGGTTTCCTCTACCACTTGATGGATCGCTATTTCAGTCACTGTCTACTTGCAGCTTAGAACTGTAATCTTGGGATTTTTAGGCACTTTTACCATCAAGCTGCATCTCAACAATTTTAGAGTGAACATTATGATTAAGAGATCCTTTATTTGTCCCACAGTGGGGAAAGTTACAGAACAGTAGGAAAGAGGAGCACACAGCACAAGATAAATTAACAATAACCTGTACTAATTCAAATAAAATAAAATCTATAACTCTAGCATCAAAGAAACAAGTTAAAGTGTTGATACAAAAAAATAATAAATACATTTGGAGGGAGAGTTTAGCTTGGCTGGAGCTTATTCCACCTCCAGGTCTGTTCATAAGTGTCATAAATGTCCTCTGTCTCCCCAGCCTCATCATGTCGGTCTCACTGACTCGCTCAGAGGGGGTCACTGTCCTCACTTTGACCTCTGACCCCTCCAGTGCCTGCCCTCCCCTCTGTCAGCTGCTGGGGGCGCTGTGTTACTCCCCCAAGCTCTGCTCTCGCTCCCCTGGGATGGTCCTCCCGCGGCGGGGGTCCCAGGCCGTGCTTGGGGCCCTGTGGATGGTGAACGGCGTGTTGCAGGCGGCGCTCGGGGGCGTCCTCCTCAGTGCCGGGGGCGCGGCCTCCTACCAGCTCAGAGACACCTGGTGCCCCGTGTGGCTGGGGGGGATCTTCCTGCTGCTGGGCGTCTGCTGCGTGCTGACGGAGCGGCGGCCCAGGCCCTGCTCCGTGCTGCTCAGTGGCATCTTCAACCTGTTCGGAGCCGCCATGTCCATCACCGCCATCGTCTGGTACTGCACCCAGCTCTCTGAGGCCGGGTAAGAGGCACCAGCTACGCACCAGCTAAGATAAGATAAGATAGACTTTATTGATCTCACACTGGAGAAATGTACATGTCACATTTAGCATGGATCACTCAGATTGTGAAAAAGACAGAAGTGTGCAACATGTTAAAGGTTAAAAATATAGTCTGTGCTGGATTAAAAAGTGGCAATTAGGGGTGTGACGATATATCGATTTTTCGGTATATCGCGATATTTTCTCCCGCGGTTCGATTATCGATATGCATTTGCCAAGTATCGATATCGATTTTGAAAAAAAAAAATATATATATATTTTTTTTAACACTTTTTTATTTATTTATTGGTATCGATACTTTTTTTTTTTTAATTTATTGTTGAGAATAGACATACAAAACATACAATACAATACATACAATACGACAAACAAGAAGCAAACACAGACAACAAAGACAACATAGGTGATCAGTTTCAGTGATATTTACAACGTAAGAGGAGAATCTATACAAAGAGGGGAGAGAGGACAGCGAGACCAACAAGAAAGAAAAAGCAATCGTTGCACGCACGCGCATGTGTGTGTGTGTGTGTGTGTGTGTGAGTGAGTGTGTGCATGTGTGTGCATGAGAGTGAATGTGGCATTACAGAAATCTTTTCCTATGTACAGAAGAGGGGGAGAAGGAAAGACAAAGTGTATATCTACACATACATACATACACATATATATTCATGCATATATACATACATTCACACAAACAATAATTATAAACATATAATAGTAAATTTAAACATATACAAATAAATATATATATAACATTTAAATTATAATAATAATGAATAATGATATACGATTGTTGCCTAATAACCTTGATAATGATTATAATAAAGATGGTATCAATACTTAATATATGGCTACATTACGCATCTCCATTTTATTTATCATGAAATAAAGAGTATTTTTTCTTTAATTTATGCCATAAATTGGCATATTGTATATTTCTGACCAATATATCAATAATCGTCATATCGTGATATTATCGTTATCGTGAGCTGTGAGACTAATAAAGGTTTATCTCAGCTTTGTATCGTATCGTATCGTGAGGTACCCTTAGGTTCCCACCCCTAGTGGCAATAGCAGTGCAGGTTTTTTTCAGTCCTAGTACACACCATCTCTGCTCCAGCTACGCACCAGCAACACATCAGCTACGCACCCGCTACGCACTGCTATCCACCCGCTACTCACCCGCTACGCACCAGATTTCTGCTATTATTGATGCTTTTTACAGTCTGTTATTGGTTCTGAAATATTGAAAGTACTTTTGCCATTGAAGTACAATGCAGCAGCACAATACCAGTAAAACATTTTTCCATTGGTCAGTTTCATTAAAAGGCTTTTTGCGGAAAATAAACTGCAACATTTGTAGAAGTTCTTAAAAAGTAACATTACACTGCAAATAAGAGATAAAGGATAAAAAGAGAAATATTCTTTCTTCTATCTAACAAGATACTTTTGCTTGTCCAGGTGGCAAAGTATAAAATAAAATAAATGAAATAATGGCTTTGTCCCAAATTAGGATAAAAACTTTTATTACCGCTTATTTTATCTTTTTTTGCAGTGTATGTTCTGTTCTGTATGCACTGTGTTTAAGCTGGGCTCGTCTCACATTTCCAGGAAGACTGATTCATATTCCCTTAAGCTGTAATACACTGCCCTTGTATTACAGCTTCTACTCCATGTGCTACGATGACTACTACTACTGGGACAGTCGCACCACCCCGAGCCCGTCCCCAGAGAAGGAGGCCCTGAGAGCGCGCTGCCTGGAGGGGCGCAGGCTGCTCCGGGCCCTGGTGTACGGCATCGGGGGCGTCCTGCTCACTCTGGCCGTCCTGGGGCTGTGCCTGGGCATCAGCTCTGCCACGCTCAGCTTCAAGGCTCTCTGTGCGGCCAAGACGGGGAAGCCAGACAGTCAGGCCCTGCTGCAGGAGGGCAAGGAGCCCACGGAGGAGAAGGAGGGATAGGGCTGCAGGCTCCGAGGGTGGAAAGGAACACAGGAGTGCGTCATGATTAGCCAGTGGTACAGTATACAACATAGAGAGCTACCAATCGAAAAAAAGAGAGCTACCTGTTTTGAGCTACCAATCGAAACAGGTAGCTCTCCAATCTTTTTTGATTGGAGAGAGCAATTTCCTTCAAGGCACGAATCACATAAAACAAACACCAAAACCACCATTAAAAACACAATTTAATTATATTGAACGAGGCTCATTTAACCACGTAAACCAGATACTGCTGAGACAAGGCCAGTAGATGCATTTAAGAGCACAGGGATAACTGATGCTTATATTTGGACGCATTTAGGCCACATCGTAAAATAGATGACTGAAGCCAAATATGTCATGCATTTGAATAGAAACAAACTGTTTTAGAGGCAAAAAATAGTGACATGGATTTTATTACATATACTTCAAATCGTCTGTAAAGCCTGGTTCACACGAGACCCCACACACGGAGATAAAAAATCAAGGGTCTAACCACTTTGGTCGTACAGTGTGTGGTGTGCAGCCACACGGCAAAGTCACGCAAACCACACACGAACCAATTTCCCCCACGAGCATTCACAGGTCAGACGGAAATCTCACAAAAAATCTGAGCATTCTTAAGATTGTCGTTAGGGGTAAATTGGGTCTTAAACCCCAGTTAAATTCAAGTTTAGTAGAAAACGATGAAATGATAACTTTTTCTGTCAGTGTGTTCTGCATAGGCCTATATCCATATCACTAAAAACAAACTTGTGTAATCATATTTTCTTTGATTCAATGATTTCTCCATTAAATATACGGGAAATGGAAAACTATGATCTAGTGACTACATAATCTTTAAGGGAAAATCTCAATTCTGTTTCTATGCACTACATAGTATGCACTTTACTGTCCTTATTATTTGTATGTGACAAAGCCCTAACATTTTTGCATGGAACAATTTTCTTAAATAAAGGATTTTCAATCAAAATGTGGTTCTTGATTTTGATTGTAATGATGACTAATAATAATAATAATAATATAATTTATTTAAAAGCACCTTTCACACAAACACCCAAGGACACTGCAAACATAAAAACAGGATGAAAATTAAAAAAAATAGCATGAATAAAAACAGAAAACATCAGGACTGGACAGAGGTGATGGGGGACTGGTCATGTGGGGAAAGAAAGTCTGAAATGGTGAGTTTTGAGTCTGGATTTGAACAATGGAAGAGAGTCAGTGATGCGGAGGTCAGGGGGGAGTGGGTTCCAGAGATGGGGAGCAGAGCGGTACAAAAAAAAATAAAAAATCCTATTTTAGACTCAGATTTAGAATCCTCAGACTGTGACTATATACTTTTATGAATTTATTTTATTTATTTTAATAGTTACAATACAATGATAAAATGCAGAAGAATACATCTTACAATTAAAAACACAGTTCACACATGAATGATACACAAATTGCATTATTTTCCCTCACAATAAATGGGGGCCCCGGGTTTTCATGGGTACTCTCAGGCTCAGGAACCTTAGCAAAACCAGGGGCCGGGGACTGGAGTTGAAAATTAGCATTAGCTGTAAACTCTTTCAGCATCGCATCAGATTCAAGCTTGTTTTGTTCTGTGTTGACCTGTCCCTGTCAAAATCAACACACAATGCATCAAATTTGATCTTTAATGTTTATACTGTACAATCACACTTTGATCCATTTTAATTTAATCATTACAAAGTCACACTTTGTTTTGGATTCAGACGTGATGGTGTGAACTTTAGTCCTGGTTCAGTCCCGTGTCAATCCCGGTTCAGTCCTCTGCTTGTCCTGTTTCAATCCTGTGTCAGTCCTGTGTTAGTCCACGTTCAGTCCTGGTTCACTCCCGTGGTAGTCCTTGTTCAGTCCCGGTTCAGTCCCGTGTCAGTCCTGTGTCAGTCCCGTGTCAGTCCTGTGTCAGTCCTGGTTCAGTCCTGGTTCCTCTTCAGAGTTTGTGCAGAAGTGAGAGTTGCCGGTAATTGATTTGCTGTCTGGCTGACAGTGGACTGCGTTTCCCATGATCCCTCAGGAGCAGAGGTCAGTGCTGTTGTAGTCCACAGGGGTCAGACTCGCACATCTTTATTCCATTATTGATCATGATCGACGACGGCCTGCAAACTTCTCATGTTTATTTTACTGCATTGGGACTCAAAGAAGGACAACAGCTAAACTGAACCGGACTAAAGCAGAACTGAACCAGGACCAACCGGATTTGGACTGAAGCTGGACTGAACCAGGACCAACCGAACTTAGACTAAAGCAGAACTGAACCAGGACCAACCAAACTTGGACTAAAGCAGGACTGAACCAGGACTAAACTTGGACAAAAGCAGGACTGAAGCAGGACTAAAGCAGGACTAAACAAGTACTAAAGCAGGACTGGACCATGACCAAACTTGGACAAAAGCAGGACTGAACCAGGACTAAACGTGGACTGAAGCTGGACTGAACCAGGACTAAACTAGGACTAAAGAGGACTGAACCAGAACAAAACTGGGACTAAAGCAGGACTGAACCAGGACTAAACTAGGACTAAATCAGGACTGAACCGGGACTAAGTGAGGACTAAAGCAAGACAAAACTGGGACTAAAGCAGAACTGAACTATAAAAGTTCCATAAATGTCCTTAAGTGCCCTTAAATGTCCCTAAATGTCCCTAAATGTCCTTAAATGTCCTTAAATGTCCTTAAGTGTCCTTAAATGTCCTTAAGTGTCCTTAAGTGTCCTGGATCATCGCCACTGTCCTCACTCGGGTTGCACACATTAGCTTTTTCTAAATCTTTACAGACTTCATGAGTTGTCTGTGGTTTGTTCTGCTGCTGGGGTCAGGGGCCGTTAGTGTGTGTGATGGGTCTGTGACAGGTATGGACTGAAGTGTCAGTCTGAGGAGTGGGGCCCCCCTGAAGGCACCCACCCGGGCCACACTTTACCCACATGCGGCTCTGTGGAGGGAACACTTCTGTTTGTCTCTCCACTTTAACTCTCTGGTTTGGTTTTATGAGCACGTATCACCAGAATGATTGACAATTAGGATGATCCAATCGTCTGGATGATCCACCCAGTTTATTTTACTGCATTGGGACTCAAAGAGGGACAAGAGCTAAATTGAACCAAGACCAAACTTGGACTGAAGCTGGACTAAACTGGGACCAAACGAGGACTAAAGCAGGACTAAACCAGGACCAAACTAGGACTGAACCAGGACCAAAATAGGACAAAAGCAGGACAAAAGCAGGACTGAACCAAGATGAAACGAGGACTAAAGCAGGACTGAACCAGGACCAAACTAGGACTAAAGCAGGACTGAACCAAGACGAAACAAGGACTAAAGCAGGACTGAACCAGGACGAAACAAGGACTAAAGCAGGACTGAACCAGGACCAAACTAGGACTGAACCAGGACCAAAATAGGACAAAAGCAGGACTGAACCAAGATGAAACGAGGACTAAAGCAGGACTGAACCAGGACCAAACTAGGACTAAAGCAGGACTGAACCAAGACCAAACAAGGACTAAAGCAGGACTGTACCAGGACAAAACTAGGACTGAACTAAGACCGAACTTGGACTGAACCAGAACTAAACAAGGACTAAAGCACGACTGAACCATTACTAAACGAGGACTGAACCAGGACTTAACTTGGACTATAGCAGGACTGAACCAGGACAAAACAAGGACTAAATGGATTGGCACGTCAGCCTGGACACTGCAGCTTCATAATTTATTTTTTTTATTTTTTACCTAAGCTATTTTCTTTGTAAAACATGAGGTCGTAGCTGTAGAGACCCAACATATAGTGCTGCTAGTAAAGGTTCTTATGATTACACATGACATAACTCTGCTGTTTATTTTCTGAGCACATGCTTTTTAGTGAAATGGACAAATCAAAACTAAAATCCTATTGGAGTTAGATAAGATTGGCTAAACTTTATGGATCTCACTATGGAGAAACGTACATGTCACATTTGGCACAGATAGACAAAAAGACAGAAGTGTACAACATGTTCGAGGTTAAAACTTCAATATTATCATTTGTCACAGGAACTTTCCAACAAAATAAGAAATTGTCAAAGGCCATTTTCTTTCCATCAACACATGGGCTGTAGATCCTGAGTCCTGGACTACAGCCTGTCCTTCCGTGGGAGTGGATTCCGCCCCCTCCTCGGGGTTTCTCACCTTTTCCCACTGAGATATTTGCGTTGATCCTTTCTGATCCAGGAGGGTCTAAGGACAGTGATGATCCGGAACATTGAAGAACATTGAAGAACATTTATGGTCGTTGGTCTTCCACTGTCTATGGACCAATGGCTCCTACATGTTTGAACTGTTATAGTCTCTGATCTGTGTTGGCGAAGCGACAACTTTGTAAAATCCTCCGAGTCGACTGCTGTTGTGATTTAGGGCGATACAAAAATAACTGGAATTGAATTGAATTGACTGTGGGCTGTGGTTTTACAAAGCGGGAACCTTCTGAGGGGCGCACTTTATACATGTACTTTATCTGTGATCTACAGCGATAACTGGTCAGTATCAAAATCACCTGTTTCTCTCGGCTCAAAACCACTCTAGACTCTCAGGGCTCTTTCTTACAGATAAACAACAAATAAACTCTAAACTTCTTTTTTAATCTGTGCAAATAGTGAACAATATAAACAGTTAAATGAAATACCAAATTTAAATCAATGCATGGTTCATTAATTAAATGATAAATGTGTTTAAAGGTGCAGTAAGCGATTTTGTTAGCTTAGCCGTAGCACCAACTGGAAACCACTCCCCCTCCCCTCCTTCTCCACCGAACCAAACATCCAGCGTTTTCTTTTCTTTGTCTCAACAGGGAGAGTGGGCGGCAAACGTGAAATTGGCATTTTCTGTTCAGCCGTTTTAGGTTTTAGAAAATAATCAGATGACTCAGGCGCACTCGGAGAAACAGGAAGAGGGGGAAGGCGGTAAACGCATCCCATTGGTTC